AGATCTAAAAATCGACCTTCCATACAAAGCAATCCCCCTTCTGGGAATATACCTGGAGGAACTCAAATCACTCTATGAAAAAGATAACTGCGAATGCATGTTTATTGCAGCACTAGTCACAATAGCAAAAACATGGAATCAACCATGCTGCCCATCGAAAGTGGACTGGATTTTTAAAATGTGGTACATATACATGATGAAATATTACCCAGCCATAAAGAAGGACAAAATTATGAACTTCGTAGCAACTTGGATGGATTTAGAGTCTATAATACTCAGTGATCTATCACAGAAACAAAAAACTGAGTACCACATTGGCAGTAGTGGGAAACTGTCAGGGGAGTGGGGAGGCACATTTCATCAATTAGGGTACCTAATCTCAAACCAGGTGAAGTGGAGACCAAAGTGAGGCCTAAACTTTACCTGTACAATGACCGTTTGTATACCTAACCCTAATTGTACCCATTTAAAAAATACCAATTAAAAAAAAAATCTGTTCCCAACTTCACTCCTATAGTTGTTGGCAAGCCTCAGTTCTTTGCCATCTGTCAGCTGGAGGTCCTTTTTCCTCGCCATAGGAACTTATTTCATTAGTGATTTTAAAAATGAGATTACACTATATAGGACTTTCTTTTTTTCACCCAGCAACATATTGTGAATATTTTTCCATGAAACTGAACATATTTCTAACCATCATTTTTTTTAACTTTGGATGCAAATTGCCAACTTGAAAAGGCAGAAATCCTTTAGGCAAATTTGCTAAAATACAGTGATATACTCTCTCATTTTATCTTTGTAAATTTGTGCACAAAAACAAGGAAACTTCATTCACCACCATGGTTAGCTATTTCTTTGAATCACTAAAAGTAAAATTTGGCGGGGTGCGGTTGTTCACGCTTGTTGCTCCAGTAGTTTGGGAGGTTAAGGAGAGAGAATTGCCTGAGAGCAGGGGTTTGAGACAGCCTGGGCAAATTGGCAAGACCTCATCTCCACAGTAAATTTAAAAACTTAGCTGAGCATGGTGGTGCATGCCTATAGTTCCAGATACTTGGAAGGCTGAGGTGGAAGGATTGCCTGAGCCCAGCAGGTTGAGGCTGCAGTAGCCATGAGCGTGCCACTGCACTCTAGCCTGGGCAACAGAGTGTGACTCTGACTCAAAAAAAAAAAGAGTTAAGATTTGTGTTTTTGCTTAACAGCAGAGATTTTGCCTACAATTTATTACTACGTGTGAATATTATCTTCTTTTTCATTTCAATAATTTTGTCTCCAGGCACAGAATTTATATTATCAACACTTCTAGTTGGTGCTTTTCAAAAGAGAAGCAATCAGAGGCCCTATTAATGTTCGCATTTTTAAAGGCCTTTACAATCAGTGACTATCATAGCCAATTTTCAAGGAATATGTTTCAGGCTTAGGAGAAGACTCGTGACAAAGCTTTCTTTGTTGTGTGGTCAGCTGTGGCCAGGACAGGAGGGATTTTGACAACAAGAAGACAACTTGAAATTGAAATTCTTGAAATCTACCATTTTTATAACTTGAAGTTCTACAAATGCTAAATATGCCTTCTTTGGCGCTAAAGTAACTATATGCAAGTTACATGAATTATTAGCTAGTGCAATAACAGAAAAATATTTTCAGTAATTGAAAAACAGTTACTGACATCTGAATTATTACAGTCTTATTTTTGTAAGGTGTTAGGATAGTGAAAAATAGCTTGGTAAGGGAGACAGGAAACTTCTACCATCTCTGAATTTCACACACAATTTTACTTGGAGGATCAATATTATTTGTTTATAGCAAGAAAACTCTGAGAGTAGCTTTGCACTGTTGGCTCCACACATCATGGTGTATGTGAAATTGGCTTAAAAGGGCCCCATGCCAGTTGTCATTACAAACACAAATCCTACACCTTGGGAAGAAGGAAGCTGATAAGAGGAACACCTTCAAACTGATGCTTGAGGCGGGAGATCACTTTAGAGAAAATTAATCCCAGTAGGGGGGCTCTAAGGAAAACAAAACTTGAAAAACAACAAAATTCCAGGTCTTTTCGAAGAAACTAATTCTACATGATGCAAATTCTTCATTTTACCTGTTAAAAATGTATTTTAGTTATATCGTTTAATTTTAATATATAGGAGGTTATAGTATTGTAGGGCATCTCAGTATATCACTCCTAAGGATACCTATAATTATTTGTTTTGCTCTCTTTATTTTACTGGAGTATACTTATTACTGACACAGGAATAGAATATAAAATGCTTATATGTTTTTTCATATTTCCTATCATTATTGTTCATGTAAGAGAGAAATGAGTTTCCCCTAAATGTTAGTCTAAGTCTTTAATGAGTTTTTGAATTGGTGTAATGGCTTAAATCCTTTTAGTGGAATACTCTTTAGGGATTGGATTATATCTTGGGAAGTATATATTTCATAAATCACATTACTTAATTTAATCAATTTATTAAATATAAGCCAGAGAGTTATTCTAGGAAGTGTCCATGGGTTCAGAATCGCTATTACCCAAAACACATTATAGGATTTAACTCTGAGCACTTCTAACTTTGCTTTTTAAAAACTGTGCATACAATGGAATCTGGCACTGAGTGATTGAAGCAATGTATTACACATTCTAACAATTGTCTAGTAAGAATGTGTGACTTCTGGGCAATGAATGGCAGTTAAGATAAGATTTTTTTGTTTAGAAGCTGGAGGTCCAGTCTAATTACTCTTTATAAAACATCACATCACAGAACCAAGTGCTAAACACTATTTCTATTTATGTAGTTGATTTAAGTGTTACAGATTTAAGCACTAACCACACTGATATAAGAATAAAAGTTCATTTAAAATTGACCATAAGTCTAGAGTTCACTAACATTTTTATTGCTTTAATTAGCTTACAGTATACAATTTAAATAACTATAAATTGCTCATTAATGTGGAATAGCATGTGATCCCAAACAATGTTTAAGCAGCCTTCCTTATTATTGAAGCAAGTATAAAGAGAAATGCAGGAGACTTCATGATTATACTACACATTACTTTATGAATTATTCTTTCTCAGAAGTTTGTGAGATTAAAAGGATATACTTACGATCATTTTAACATTTGGTGAAAGTCCTTGAAAATAAAAGTTTCAAATGTATAGGTAGTTAAATTTTGTCTCCAGGCACAGAATTAATATTATCAGCAACACTTCCAGTTGGTGCTTTTCAAGAGAAGCAATCAGTGGTTCTATTAACGTTTGCATTTTTTAAAGGTTTTAAAATCCGTGACTATCTTAGCCAATTTTCAATGAACAGGGTTCAGACCTAGGGGGAGATAACATGACAAAGTTTTCTTTGCTGTGTGACCAGCTTTGGCCAGGAGAGAAGAGGTTTCTGCAGCCTATTATGAAGCATTTTGCAACAGGGAGTAGCCAGATACACAGAGGGACTGCCAGTTTTGAGGAAGTATCTGATACCTTTACTGCTACCCAGATTTAGGATTTATAGTAGATGCTTCCTATTTGCTAGGTGACACTTACTCAAACAACTCTTACACCCAGGCTTTCTGAGGAACTGATAGTTGTTTTTTGAGTACTTTAACATTGACTTCTGTTCCTCTTTCTTCTCTCTTCCATTCTTTTTCTGTTTAGCCTATTCTGCAAATTAGTTCAAGAGCTTGAGACATGGAAGCACGAGTTTTTCATCTGCTTAAAACACAACTTCTCTCTTTGTTTCCTAGTAGTTGGAGAATTCTGAGCGTTATTCACCAAGATATCTTTGGGGGGGGGCGGTAATTACACTCCCTTTGCAGAATGGACTCTCTCAGCTATACCCAAGTCATATTTCAAATTTTTCTTCAAAATATAATTCTGGAAAAATCCATGGCTAACTTACTCATCACAGATGCTCCCTGCTAAACCAAACTGCTAATTAATGACATTACAAAGAAAATAGCACAAACTGAAGGAGCACTGGACCAGAAACTGGGATACGTGGCCTCCAGCTTTATTCTGGCTCTACATCTTCGTAGGCATGTGATTTTGACTTGCTTGACTAGGTTTCACTTCTTACATTACATATTTATATATAAATACAGTTAATTGATATCAATGGTATCTAATCAATATAGTGATGTAATCAATATATACAATTTTATCAAAACATTTAATATTTATAAGTATATTGTATGTATTATATGCACATACATACATGTATACATATGTATAAATATAAGAATGAAATATATAGAAAATATATGATTATATAGTATATATATATTTTTTTGAGGAGTGTAGTGGCACGATCATAGCTCACTGCAGCATTGAACTCCTGAGCTCAAGCTAAGACTATAGGCATGCCACTATACCCAGCTTATTTTTTGCTTTAGATACAGGAGTTACAATATCTCCTGCCTTAGTCTCCCAAAGCACTGGTGTTACACTTGTCAGCCATTTTGCACCTGGCCTATATATATAATTTTTTAAACAGATTTTATCCTCGTATTTGCTTAAGATGTTTGGACGGGCTCTAGACATCTATTGTTGCCCTGAGTTTTTCCATCACAGATGGATTACCCAGAGGATGAGGTTCCCGAGTGCTGGACACAGACCAGTGCCGACTGTTTAATTCGATAGAGTACAGTGATGTTATATACCTTATTATAAGCTCTTACAAGAATGTTCGTGTCATTTGGTATGAGCTCAGCCATGGAGACATCAAAGCCCTTCGGAGTGACAATATCCTTCATAGAATCATTTAATATTATGTTCACTTCCTCAGTCCAGAGAATTAGGCCTAGGCTCTGGCCTTCTAATTCCCTTTGCTTTTACCATGTCAAATTACACACAGAAATAAGTGGTCAGTGACCATCAAGGCTTCCGACCCTCAACGGGCGTTCTGAGGCCCAGGTTCCTGACAAAGACCCCGCAGTGGGGAGCGCCCCGCCCTCTCCAGCTGTTCTGGGGATAAATGGGCTGCGCCCTTCTTCTTGAGCTCGCCCCTCCCCCACCTCAGGTTCCAGGAGCGCCGGGCGAGCGTGCGAGGCATGGGTTGCGGTGCCAGCAGAAAGGTGGTTCCGGAGCCGCCAGCGCCGGCCCGGGTCAAGCTCGACGGTCAAGGCCAAGGACGCGTCCGGGGTGCGGGGCCCGGACCCGGGCCCGAGGCGGCGGTTCAGGCGGCTCAGAGGATGCAGGTGGCTCGCTTCCGAGCCAAGTTCGATCCCCGGGTCCTGGCCAGGTAACGCGCCATGTGGAGCGCCGAGGAGGGGCTGACCTGGGGCCGGGTTGAGGGAAACAAGCCACTTCTGACCAAGTCGGCCTTAACAGTTCCTTAAGCCTGACTCAACCTGGACTGTTTCTTTCCAATGATAGGCCATTCCTCGACTCACTTTCTTTGCTCCTTTGAGATGTAAATCTTCTAGCACCCAGGACTGTCTTTTTCAAGGATCTGGCAGCTCTTCCTTTGAAATATGATATCAAGAGAGTTAGGCCACTCTCTCCTAGTCCCTGTGGGAGGGCAGGAGCCTAACTTCCACAAGCCAGTTAGCAAACACAGATGGCCTAATCACACGGACAACCTTTTCTTAATGTCCTCTCGCACCTTTTCACTAGCTCATCCAGCGCTTAAAAACTCTCTTGACTTCCATTTCAAAGGAGTTCATCCTCTCTCCCCTACTGCGGTAGTCTTGACCCCTATTGCAGTAGACTGGGATAACATCTTCCTTGCTGTTTTAGTAAACGTCCAGCAGAGTTTCTCTTTGTCATCTTGAAGTGCAGAGAATGGAGAAAGGGGGAGCAGGAGCAGCAGGAGAGAGAGAGAAAAAAAGAGGGAATGCCTATCCTCAAGGAAGGAGGACGGCCTCTCAACCTCCAGCAGAGTCTGTGGTGGAGAGGTGTTTCCACCTGTATACTGGGGCTGGGTACTGCCACACCTGATGTGTGAGGAATCCTCTACTAAATTCTAGAAGTGGGACTATGGTTCGTGCATTAGAAATGGGCCTTTGAGTCAACTGGACTGGAGAATCCACTCCTGTTTCTTCTACCATGTGCCATTTAGAACATTCCTTAGTTTTTCTTCTTCCTCAGTTTCTGCCTCTGTAAAATGGGAAAAATAATATCTGTCTCATAACATTGTTGTGAGATAAAATAATACATGTAAATTATGCTGCAGAGTGCATGATGCCAGTCCTCGAGTAGATTTTAGTGCAGTGCTTATTATCATCTTCATGAAGTACAGGTAAAACCTAATTGACCCTATGCAGAAAATGAGCAAAGAGAGTAAGTTGGTTGGCCTCAGCGGTAATTTCCTGAGAGAGTGCCATATTGGACATGTTGACCAAGGAAACCACAGAATTCCCTTCTCCTCTGTAGTATTTGGTGGGACACAAAGATGGGTGTCTCATCTGACTCCACAAGGCACTTCTGGTCCTAGAATTGTATGCTCATTTCAATACGGTGCTCTGCCCAGAATCTACGCAGAGCCATTTCCTCCTTGAGAACGTTTAGTAAAACTACTGAAGTAGCTGCTAAGCTTAGAGAAGATCAAGGCTGACTGATGTGACTGAACTTGAATCTAAGTAGATGCTGGGTCTTGGCGAGACTGAACTGGTTAAACGGCATCTCTGGTCACCTGTAGTCAGGGAGATGATGCTACTGTGGTCTAATCTTTACCTGCCCTCCTAATACCCATCCCCAGGATAGTTCCAGCCCCTTTCGTGTTTAAAAAGATCTTAGAAGCAGAGCATCTCCATATTATAAGGGCTTTAGAGACTTTAACTCAAGACTCATCTTTCATAAATAAGGAGTTGAGCCCCCCAAGGTTGTGATTTGTTTAAGTTAATGGGAGAATTGGGACTAGAACAAGGTTGTTTTTCTTCTCTATTGTGATTCCATCTATAACACTTGCAGAACAGAGATGATAGAATGTAAATCTGACTATACAAAGGGTGCCCCCCCAAAATGTATACACATTTTAAGAAAAGAAAAACTGCATTAAAATGTAAGATGCATACAAGTCACATTTGACTTCTGCAATTACAAGAGGTGCTAAAGTAGTTACCGTCAGTGTCCAGACACATAGATAACATCTCTTAAAATGTATGTATGTTTTTTGGCACCCCCAGTATTTATTTTCTTCTTGGGAGTTCATTACATTTGCTTTTCTCGGGCAATCCTCTCGCCTCCACCTCCCAAAATGCTGGGATTACAGCTTGTTGAGCCACTGTGCCTGGCCAATACTTTCTTTTTTCTTTTTTTTTTTTTTGAGTTGGAGTCTTACTCTGTCGCCCAGATTGGAGTGCAGTGGCCGCTCCCGGCCACCGCAGCCTCGACCTGCTGGGCTCTGGCGATCCTTCCCCCTCAGCCTTCCAAGTAGCTGGAATTACAGGAATGTGCTACCATGCCCGGCTGATTTTTTGATTTATTGTAGAGATGAGGTCTCGCTGCCCAGGTGGGTCTCGAACCCGCGGGCTCAGGCAATCCACTCACCTCAGCCTCCCAAAGGTGCGGGATTACAGGCTGAGCCACCGAGCCCGGCCAATACTTTCAATATTATAAAATAATAGTAAGTGGCTGGAATCTTCTACATAATAATTTTAAGATTATTCCTCAACAGTCTAAGCCAAGATTTCTTAATCTTAACAGTATCGATAATTTGGGCTGGATAATTACTTGTCAATTTATTAACTCATATTCAAAAATTCCCAGTTTGTAGCATCTGAGGTTAATGTAATATTTCAAATTTATGTAATTTGTGAGATAATATGAAATTGTACTACCTACAAAACCGACATTGAGGCTTCTCTGTTTGGAGGGAAGGAGGAATGGAAATGGAGGAAATTGAGAATTATGTAAATATTTCTTCCCTGCTTGATTTGATCCTTACTTAATGTTTTCAAAATACATGAATGATTCAAGAATGATAAGTATTCAATGAATTATTCTTTCATTCCACATTTATTGTTGCCCCTCTGTGCTAGGTAAATTTACAAGGTATATTACCTCTAATACGGATGAAATTACAAGACATGCTAAATAGCTATTCAAGTCATAAAGATGGTCACCATCCATAGCTGCTGGGGACCCACAAGCAGGGCTGCAGCTATAAGAATTTGTTATGGACTAAATTGAATAGCAATGGGAGGCATTTTTCCCCCCACTACTTTAAGTTTTGACTTAAAGCCTATAGTTTCCGCCAATGCCAAATTACCAACATTTTTTTCAAATATTTAGAATATGAAGATCTATTAATAGTATTGAATAAAGCTTCTTTTATTTGAGCAAAAGAGTGCAGTTCCTCAGAAATGAACAAATTAGTTTGCCAGCAGTTTTGAGTACATAGCGATAAATTAGTATTTGCAAAGTGCTTTCATCCATATTAGAGGTAATGTAAAACTTGGCTGGCGTGCAAAGCTATAGAATTTGAAATGACTATGATTATCTTTAAAATCACACTGGGAATGCACGTGAATAAAAAAAGCAGAGTTGGAATGGAAGAGGGGAAATAATCTACTTAAGATTACGAAATTGCTATCTGTTTTGATTAGGTAATTGGCCAGAAAATTAAATGCTAGGGAGAACAAAGCTGTTTTCTGTAATCTGGGGCAGCCAAATGCCATTTTTATTCAGTACACATAGGAATATAAGAAAAATATAAGTAGGTAAAAAAAAAAAAAGGTTCAGGAAGAATAAGCTCAACAAAAAAGAAAGAAAGCTAGTAAAAGCACAGAATGATATTTTCATTTGAATCTTTGGTATTGAGTATATGACATAAAAAATTGCCTTCTTTCCAGGTACTGCCTGGGAACATTCAATTCTTTAGCATCCTTACTTAGGAGAGATTTTACTAAAGTGAGAAGAGCACTAAATTATGAAGTAAGGAGATCTGGGTTTTGATCCTGGCTCACAGCTAAAACAATGAATTGTCTAACCTGTTCTTCAAATTTCCTCATCTGTAAAATGAGGAGTTGGGTTAAATCATTCTTTAATATTTTTCTAGCTGTAACATGATTTTAAGTGTAGCACTTTCCATACATATCTTCAATAAAGACAGAGGGTTAAATTTGATAGGATTGTTAAATTTTAGTAGAAGTTTCCACCGACAGTTCAAGTTTAAGACTCCTAGTTTGAAATCTGAGTTAACTTCCTGGCCTTCTTGTGAGATAATTAGTTTATGCATCATTGACACATCTCATGTTAAAATTTGTTTTACTGCTTGGAAGCTACATGTGAAGGAGAGTGGCTGGGGGGAGACTGTGGAAAGCAGCTGACTGGGATGGCCCCAACACTCTTCCTACCAGAATTTTGAGACCTGCTCTTATAATAGCACAGCCACATTGACTTTTTCTTTGTTAATAGCTACTGTGTATGAAATGGGCCCAGGACTGAGCTTACAGTCAAGTAACACAAGGAAGCATACTGTTTATATTCTAATATTGGCTCCTTCCTCTTTTGAGAAGTCATAAACAGGAATAAGCCTCTTCTTTATTCTCCCTACTTGATTTGATTTTTGTTAAAGAATGGCAGAAACTAGGGCTGGAGGAAGGAAAGAAAATGATAGAGAGAGAGAGAGAGAGATCCTAAAATTCTTTAAGGAAATTTTGGTGAGATGCATTGGAAAGGGTGGGATTTGAATCCCATTCATACCAATCACAATCTGTGTGGCCTTGAGAAGTCGCTTAACTTTTTTTAAAGTCTTTTTTGGGGGGGGTCTGGAAAAAGGGAGTGTGCATTATTAAATCAAGTAGCAGGATTTTTGTAAGAATAAGATTTTTTTAAATTCTGGCAAGACTGGGCGTGGTGGCTCACACCTGTAATTCCATCACTTTGGTAGACCGAGGCGAGAGGACTCTTTGAGCCCAAGAGTTTGACAACATAGCAAGACCTCATCTCTACAAAAAAATCAAAAAATTAACCAAGCGTGGAAGATTGCCTATACTCCCAGCTATTTGGGAGGCTGAGGCAAAAGGATCGCCTGAGCCCAAGAGGCTGCAGTAAGCTATGCACTGCAACCTGGGCAATAGAGACCCCAACTCAAGAAAAAAAGAAATTCCTGGTATGTAATAAGTATATAATAGATAGAAGGTATTGCTATTAATATTGTCTTTCCACCAATGAATTACCTTTATATCATTTGCCTTAATTTCAAAAGAGGATTTGGGTTGTTTTAAAAAATAATAAACACAATGAAGTAATAATAAGTAAGGAAATCCAGTGGGAGGAATATAAGAATAGAAAAGATGATATAAAGCATGAACTTAAATAATTTTGACAATCATCACTTTGGAGGATAACAGGTTTGACTTTTCTTCCCAACAGATATGACATCAAGGCTCTTATTGGGACAGGCAGTTTTAGCAGGGTTGTCAGGGTGGAGCAGAAGACCACCAAGAAACCTTTTGCAATTAAAGTGATGGAAACCAGAGAGAGAGAAGGCAGAGAAGCATGTGAGTCTGAGCTCCACGTCCTGAGGCGGGTTAGCCATCGTTACATCGTCCAGCTCATTGAGATCTTTGAGGACCAAGATCGAGTTTACATCGTAATGGAGCTGGCCACAGGAGGGGAGCTCTTTGATCGACTCATTGCTCAGGGATCTTTTACAGAGCAAGATGCTGTCAGAATCCTTCAGATGGTTGCTGATGGGATTAAGTATCTGCACGCCTTACGAATAACTCATAGGGACCTGAAGCCTGAAAATCTCTTATATTATCATCCAGGAGCTGAGTCGAAAATTTTAATCACAGATTTTGGGTTGGCACACTCTGGGAACAAAAGTGGTGACTGGATGATGAAAACACTCTGTGGGACCCCAGAATACATAGCTCCTGAGATTCTGCTGAGGAAACCTTATACCAGTGCAGTGGACATGTGGGCTCTTGGTGTGATCACATTTGTTTTACTTAGTGGATTCCTGCCTTTTGATGATGAAAGCCATACAAGACTTTACAGGAAGATTCTGAAAGGCAAATATAGTTACACAGGAGAGGTAAGAGAGCATTATTTTATTCCTATTACCACAGCCTAGAATAGGGTTTCTCCACATTATCACTTTTGACATTTAGGGCTGGATGATTCTTCATGGGGAAGGGGCCTCTCCTGTTTTCTTCAGGATGTCTAGCAGTATCCTTGACTTCTAGACACTAGATAACGAGTAACACACCTCCCCCAGTTGAGACACCCAAAAATGTCTCCAGACATTGTTAAATATCCCCTGTGGAGCAAAATCTCCCTGACAGAGAGCCAGCCATTGGTCTCAAGGTATCAAGAACCTCAATAACTGAGCTGCCTGTGGTTAGCACATGGCATTTATAATCAAGTATGCGAGTATGTCTGCGGTGTTTTCGTCAACCGGAGTGCAGAGTCAGAGTTGACTGTAGACTAATGTGTACGCAGAAGCTCAGCATGATGCTTGGATGTTTGGTGAGAGATTTTCTGCCTTAAACCTAGATGGTCCAAGCCCTTTTTGTGATGAAGTGTTTTCTCAGTAAAATATGTAACCTCGTGTCTTGTGTAAAATATATGTCCATTGTTTAGATTTTAAACTCTCAGCATTCATGTATGTGTTAACTTTTTGTTGTTTGGCATAGGGAAGGACAGTTGCCAATGCTTGTATGTGGGAGGCCTGAAATTCATTTCATGTAGAGCAAATGGGAAGATTTACTTTACTTTTAATTTCTCATGAAGAAAAAACAATAATTTGCTTTACCTACTTATATACGCAGCATCTTAAGTGAAATTAAAGTTCGATAACAAATTTATTTACTTATGTATTTATGATTTTTTTTTTTTTTTGAGTTGGGGTCTCACTCTGTTGCCCATGTTGGAGCGCAGTGGCACACTCACAGCCACCGCAGCCTCAACCTGCTGGGCTCAGGCTGTCCTTCCACCTCAGCCTTCCAAGTAACTGGGACTTCAGGCATGTGCTACCACACCCAATTAATTTTTCTTGATTTATTGTAGAGAAGAAGTCTTACCAAGTTGTCCAGGCTAATCTCAAACCCCTGGACTCAAGCAATCCTCTTGCCTCTGCCTCCCAACATGCTGGGATTACAGGTGTGAGCCACCACACCCATCCAATAAACATTTCAATATAATATTTTCTATACTCTGACAGAATTCTTGAACCTTATTGTACAGGTATATGTTTTTAAAAACTCACACAAATGAGACCTAAAACTTACATAGAGAGGTAGAAAAATATGGGAACAATTCACAGACAATGCAATACCATTGATGGGCAAAAGTTTGAAAAATATCCAGCCTCACTAATAACCTAGGAAATTCAGATGAAAACAAAAATGTCCTTTTTTGGCTTTCAAGTTGATAAACATAAAAAACCCAACTCCACTTAATTTTACTCATGGCTGCTAAGGGTGCAAAGTGATTAGCTCTCTCACTCACTACTGGTAGAGGGCGAATTGTCACGAGTTTCTTGGAAGTAGTTGAAAGATATACATCTAGAACTTTAAAAAATTTATATATTTTGATCTGATAATTTCACTTCTAAGAATCCAAGGAAGTAATCCCAGATGAAGCAAAAAATTTCAGTGTAAGGCTACTCATCTGAATTACATTTACACAAGTAAAACATTGAGAAGAATCCCAGGATTCTTTGAGCATCCATATGATAGAGTAAGATAGTCCCCAAATTATGCATCTTTGAAAATTATAAGATCATTGGAAAATGTTCACAATATACTGCCGAGTGGAAGGGGAAAAAAGCAGAATATAGAGTGTGTATACAGTATAATCACATTCATGTGGGAACATGTACTCACAGAAAAAGGCTAGGAGAAAACATAATACAAAGTGAACAGGGCTGTTTTTTGGCGTGTGTATCCTCTGGTTTCCTTCTGCCTTATTTGAGTATCTTTGAATTTCTGTTTTTGTTTTGTTTACAAAGAACATATATTTCTGTGTTGATTATTTGTTGTTGTATAGCAAACTATTCCAAAATCTAATGACTTAAACAACCACCGTTTTATCATGACTCAGAATTCTGTGGGTTGATGAGGCTCAGCATTTGACTCTTCTGCTCCACATGGTATCAGGTGGGGCTGAAGTCATCTGCAGCTTGACTAGGGTGAAACACCCTCTCAACCATAAAAGACCTGAACTCAGGCAAACATTGGAAGAGAGTTGTTCATCGAGAACAGAAAAGCAGTAATTTCTTACTTCTCTGTTGGAGGGTGAGAGTCAAGACATGTATAGCATGTGAGATACTGTCCCTCTAAATTCCTGTTACTTCTCCAAAGCAAATAAGTAGTGCAATTGCTAGTATTGAATTTCAGATTTATACCATTTTTTTGTTATTGTTGTTTTATATAGTTAATCCATTTCTGTTGGAGAAGACAGGAAAACAGGTAAAGAACCAGAAAAACAAGAAAGAAGAAAGAAAAAAGTCCTGAATTATCCACAAATATTACAATTTACTTGCGACTAAATTAATTGAATAATCTTGGGATAAAATAAAGTGCTACCTTTACTTCTATGTTACATCTTAACACAAAACGTTTTTAGGGTGCACCTTTATCATGGTACAGTAAGTGGAATTGGTCTGGGAAGCATTGGATAACTTTCATATTCCAGTTTTCTAAGTGCAGTCAGTGGATGTGTTCACAAAAGAACTGAGGATGGAATTAAGTTGTGAGGATTTAATAGTAACAACAACAACAACAACAACAAATAGCTATGTAATATTTTATACAGTGTAAACCATCTTTCACATCCTGGATCTAATTTGGTCCTAATAACAATTTTTTGAAAGAGATATGATGATCCTCATTCTTCTGACAAGTAAACTGAGACCCTGTGGCCAGACAGCCTGTCTAGCCAACCCACTGACTTCATGCTTTTCCTGCATTAAGGTGGGTTAACATGCTGGCCCCAGGGCAGTGTCTACCTGAGATAACTAGGAAAGACCAAATAAAGAGGAATTTTTCAGGCAAAGAGTGAGGATGGCCAAATCTGAGAGGAGGAATTATGAGAAGAGTTTCACTGGACAAAAAGTTGATGTGAAGGCTGGTGGAGGGACAAGATGATGTCATCAGGTCACAGCTGGTCCAGAGTGGAAATTTTACTTAACATAGGGTCTCCTAGTTGGTTTTGGTTACATAGCACTATTAGCTAAAATTTTTGAGCTTGGACATTTAGTTTTAGTCATTCACAAAATATGCATGTGTATGCATGTTAGTCTATTTTATTCTTTATTAAACATAGACAAAAATGAAATTTTTAAGATGATAAAAATTGATGGCTCACACCTGTAATCCCAGCACTTTGGGAGGCTGAGGCAGGAGGATCACTTGAGCCCAGGAGTTTTGACACTATCCTAGGCAACATAACAAGACCTCATCTCTACAAAAATAAAATAAATTAGCCGGATGTGGTGGTGTGCACCGGCATAATGGTGTTTATCTGTGTCCCAGCTGCTTGGGAGGCTGAGGCCGAAGGATTGTCTGAGCCCAGGAGGTCAAGGCTTAAAAAGAGAGAGGGAGAGAGAGAGAGAGAGAGAGAGAGAGAGAAATAAAATGGAAGTTTATTTTCTTCCTGTACCTGTCTTTTTCTAATATGTACTGTGAAATTAACTCCTAGATACTCTTCAGTTGTTCTTGATGGCTTAGGAATTCTGAAATTTATAGCTCATGTTGAGTAAAAAAACTTTAGCTGAGGAACTTTTTTTTCCCAGCACACCAGTTACTTTATTTTCTGCAACTGTTTGTTAAACGTACAGTCTTTGGAGTCATCTTAATGAGCTCTCCATAAACCTCCCTGTACACATTTTATATTCTTCTCAAAAAGATTCAGTTGCTTGTATTAAAATGTTCCAGTGGAGCCATCCAATTTAACCTTCATTTAAATAGTCTTGAGTTCAGATATGTGTGTCTGAATTCAGGGCCAAGAGGATGTCTAGCCAGAACCAGAGGGCATGCCATTGTTAGTGTCACCCACGAATGTGCTTTGTCTAGACTTGTAGAGTCTACATTTGATTTTTCGTGTATTTGAGAGTTTGACAATTATGCTCGTTTATTTCATGACTTTTATTTTTGGGATAAATATGTCTTATATCTCATTTACCTAAATAAGCTGAAGGAAAAAAAGAAGAGTAGCTCTTTTACTGTTTTTTGTTTGTTTTATTTTTTAGTTCAAATTCTGGGTTAAGGCGGCATAATGGTGTATACCTGTGTCCCAGCAACTTTGGTGGCTGAGGCAGGAGGATCGCTTAAGCCCAGAATATTAAGTCCAGCCTGGGCAACATACAATATGCCATCTCTAGAAAAAAAGAAAAAGAAAATTAATGGAGTGCTAAGAGATTGGAGAGTGTAATGTTTATGTAGGTACTTCGAGTTTTCCTTACAAAAGGCAAAGACAATAGGTAATAAGGTTTCCCTCATCTTGCCTAGGACATACAATTTTAAGAATACATGTCCACCAAAATTTGTGTTTTAGGTACAGCAAATGTATGGGAAATTTTCTCAATGTTTCTCTTTTTATAGAGGACAAGGGATACAAAACTGTAGCTTTTTCTAGGTATGTGCCATGTGTTTGTTGTGTCAACCTAAAGGAAGAAGTTGAGGCCCCAAGTATAATTTTAAAGAGTTTACTTGATCTGTTAATAGTGCTCTTGTGATCATGGTGAATGTTCCTAACCCTCCTACCCCCCTGGGCTTTTTGTAAGAAGTGTGGCAAATAAATAAATAAAAGAAATCTCAAATACTTAGTTGTGTCATAGCTGTTACATGTTGAAACCCATTTGTGGGCCACGGATTGGTCACAGTGAGGGCTCTGTGTACTTGAGATGCACATCAGGAGGAACCCTTGCTGAAGTACCCTTCCTTACTGTCTTTCCCCGTCCCTCTCCAGGCTGTAGAGCTGGAGGCATCCAAAGGTCAAAGTAAGCCTTCAGAGGAAGAGAAAAATTGATGATTTCTTCATCCATTCCACTTTCCACATCCATGGTATCTCATTCTTGAAGTCAAAAGGACTCTAGAAGAAGACCACAGTGTGATAAACACCCAGTATTAATGTAGTTTGTCAAAAACAGCTGCTTTGCTTTGTCCAGTCCTGTAAATCTGATGTGGGAAATTGTATTACTAACAACAGCAGCCTGGACCGATTTCTGAAAGGGAATTCTCATTCATTCGACAGAAAGTCTAGAAACAAATTTCTGTGTTTGTGCTTGACTTTTTTTTTTTGCTAAAAAGTTTTCTTCTCCCTCTCAAAAGTGGATTTTTTTTGTTCTCTGTGTATTTAATGGCACAATATTTAAATTGCTTGTTTGACAAAGTTTTTTTTTATTTGATAGGCATTATCTATATAATTAAGAATATAATCATTTATGTTTGCATATATGCATTTTTAATTTATTTATTTTATTCTATTTTATTTTCCTTTTCAGCCTTGGCCAAGTATCTCCCAGTTGGCAAAGGACTTCATAGATAAACTACTGATTTTGGAGGCAGGTCATCGCATGTCAGCTGGCCAGGCCCTGGATCATCCCTGGGTAATCACTATGGCAGCAGGGTCTTCCATGAAGAATCTTCATAGGGCCATTTCCCGAAACCTCATGCGGAGGGTGTCTCCCCACTCTCAGAGTCCTGGATCTGCACAGTCTTCAAAGTCATGTAATTCTCATAAATCAAGGCATAGGTGGAACAAGAGAAACTTAAGGATAGCAGAATCCCCACTATCTGCACTTTTATAAGCAGATTACCTCTAAAACCATTTTATCAAATTTTAGAACTATTTCACCATAATTAGAGCATTTTAAATCTCCAAAAGCATGCGTAACCCTGACCTTGACTGTCAACATTTTTTGATCTAAATTTTTTATGTGTATTATTCATTTCCCCAAAATATACTGGTGCAAAAGATTAATAGTATAGTAAATACTATTACATTTATCTAAATGTAATTTATATACATTTAGTTAGATAACTGGAAATAGATGAAAATTTCTTAAGTAATGAATGAATTAAATACAAGATGATACTGTAGGAATAAGGAATATATATGTGAAGAAATGATTAATCAGAGAAATAGCAGACATAGGTAGATATGAAGAATAAATATATTAACTCTGCAATTATAGATTTATATTTAAGATCCAGTGTACGGTGTTATCTAGCTAACCCTCAAGATAGTTACAACTGTCTGTTAATTCCACATGTAGTCTGTAAATATTTATGGAAAATGTTAATTATGGGGTATATAAAGAACCTTTTTTTTTTGTTTTGGCTGGAGTCTCACTCTGTCACCCAGGCTGGAGTGCAGTGGCATGCTCACAGCCACCGCAACCTCAGCCTGCTGGGCTCAGACCTTCCAAGTAGCAGGAACTACAGGAGTGTGCCAGCACACCTGGCTAGTTTTTCGATTTATTGTAGAGACAAGGTCTCGTTGAGTTGTCCAAGCTGGTCTCAAACTCATGGACTCAGGCAATCCTCTTGCCTCAGCCTTCCAAAATGCTGGGATTACAGGTGTGAGCCATCACATACCTGGCCAAGAACCTTAAGATGCAATTTCTGTCCATTAGAAACTTGTAGTCTAATTGGGGCATTATTCATCGGAAAATGGGAGTTTGGGGTAATAAGACAATAGTCGTTTTTCTTTTTTATAATATTAGCATTTGCCACCCACCAGTGTATAACAGAGTATGTGATCATCTTGTTTCTTTTTGCTCCTATGAACTCTTTTTTGGTAAGCATTGGTTTCTTTTAGCAGTATTTAATCAAATCTTGATCACTCTAAATACCCATCATGAAATAATTATACATAGTACATTAAAAGAGGTAAAGAAAAAATTTTAATACTATAAGAAAGGGATTGGCAATAGTGGGAAACTGTCAGGGGAGGGGGTGTGGGATTGGCAGTTGAGAGAAACTGCTAGGAGAGGGAGGGGCACACCTCATCAACAAGGGTAACTGCATAATCAACTTTTGTATACCTAACCCTGAATTGTACCCCACATCTTTATAATTAAAAAAAAAAGAAAAAAGAAAAAAAGAGATATGTTCCAAAGCTGTTTTTCAGGCAAGGCACATATGGCCTCATCCCTCAAAAATTCTTGTAAAACGAGGACCAGGAGTGGTGGCTCACACTTGTAAGCCTAGCACTTTTGGAAAGCCAAGGTAGGTTTGAGACCAAGAGTTCAAAACCAGCTTGGGCAACAGAGCATGACCCCGTCTCCACAAAATTTTTTAAAAAATAAACAAATAAATATACAAAACAATTTTTTAAAATGATATAAAAACTGAAATATTGTTAATCGTATCTGACGATCACTCATACGAATAGATAAATATAGTAAATGAATGATTCCTGATTCCTTAGTTGGCATTGCTTATTTTATTAAGTACAATAATAAGATGCTAGAGTGACACTAACTGTAAGATCAGTCTTAATTTTTTCATTTCATTTTTCTCTTTTAGGGTATATATACAGAACAGCTGTATATGTGATGTATAGATAGAAGTGTGTAATAAGACATAAATTTTTAAAATTGTATTGCTACATCATGTGACATATGACAGACCATGAATTCATTCCTTTCATATAGAAAGAACACTTAACAAATTCATAAGAAAAATAATAGAAAAATGAGCAAATATTTTGACAGATGGTTTATAAAAATATGGATGGTTAATAAGCAAGTGAAAAAATGTTCAGCTTCACTCATAACTTACAAAATGAAAATTAAAGTGACAGATAAAAGAAAAATGAAAAGGCAAAGAGTATTTTTTCACCGATTAGATCAAAACAATTTAAAACTGAAATAATGCATGTGGTGGAAGTTTGCAGACAAGCAGATACTCTCACACAGTGTTGACAGAGAGGAGTGTAATCTGGTGCCACCTCATGGGGATGGAGGACAATTTGGCAGTAAACTCTATCCAGATTAAAAATACATTGACCTTTGATCTTAATTATATAATTTGTAGAAATTTGTTCTACACATATTCCTGCTAAGTGTGCAAATATATATATGCGAAAGTTATATGCTACTTATATAAGGAAGAATCACAATTAGATGCCTGTCAGTAGGGGAATGCCTTAAAATGTGTTACATCTCAGCAAAGGTCTACTATGCAGCCATTAAAAAGAATACAGCAGGCCAAGCACAGTGGCTCACACCTGTAATTCCAGCACTTTGGGAGGCTGAGGCAAGAGAACTGCCTGAGCCCAGGGGTTTGAGACTAGCGTGGGCAGCTTGGCGAGACCTCATCTCTACAGTAAATCAAAAAATTAGTCAGGTGTGGTGGGTGCACCTGTAGTCACAGATAGTTGGAAGGCTGAGGCGGAAGGATCACCTGAATCCAGTGGGTCAAGGCTGCAGTAGCCATGAGCATGCCACTGCACTCCAGCCCGGGTTACAGAGTGAGACTCCAACTCAAAAATAATAATAATAATAACAATGACAATAATGCATATCTATAAGTTATGTCATATGATATGTTATTGTGTAAATGAAAAAGCAAGAGGTATAGGACAGTATGATCGCTTGGGTGAAAAAATAAGTACAGAAGCTTGAAATATTGGTAAGAACTTGATAAAGGTAGTGATTATTTCTGGGCAAAAAAAGAACAATAAGTCTGGGGTGGTGGGGGGAAAGATTTACTCATCATTTTATACCTGTTACTACTTTAAAAAGTTTTAAAGTTATGTATTTGCTCTAAGTTTACAGAGAAAACAGAAGCTCCTAGAGGAATTGGGAATGTGAAAATTGGTTCTTTTTAATTGGATGTGTCACTTATTTGGCACTTGACAATTTCAGAATAAAAAGAAAGCAATAAAAATCTGTAATGCTGATACTTTTTTTCTAATCTTGTTGATTAGAAAATAGCTTTAACATGCAGCCATGCCATTTTATCCTGATGTTTATTGAGCACTTACTCTGTGCCAAGTGCCTTGCTAAGACTTTAACATATATTATTTCATCTGCTCCTTATAACAAACCTATGAGGTAGGTATTATTTTTAATCTGGTTTTATATATGAGGAAACTGAGGCTTAGAGATGTGAAGTAACTTTTCAAGGTCATCAGCAGGTAAATAGCAGGTCTGGAAGCAGAAACTCAGAACTCGTTCCTTAACCTTTATGTTGGATCATTTCCGAGAAGAATGTACAAGCCAGAAGACTTAAATTTCATCTATACTGACACAATGTATATTGTATTGCAGTACAATATTATGCAAAGTTATGGTGTAAATATTTGTAGTCTGTATGGATAATTGATTTCATCTTTGCCTGCATAGTCTGCCTTCCTTGAAGTGCTTTTCCTTAATGAGCCCACCCTGCAGGCATCCTCAAATTCAAGGTTATTGCTGGGGCAACAAAACATCTTAAAGCAAGGCTAGGAATCAGGTCTAGGAGAGATGAGACTGGGCTAGGAAGATGGTCAAACCTCAGAAATTATCAAAGGCAGGGAGTTTGAAAATAGACTGTCTGGGGCAGAAGGAACCAGCACAGATGATTGATCCAGACAACCCTGGGTCAGGAACCCAGGTGGAAGAAGGCAATGAAGTGCGCAAAAAGGGACTTGGCACCAAGCCAACAACTTCCCAAGGTCAGAGTGCTTGTTTCCAGTGGTAGTGAAGGACCAAGTGTGAGACAGCCTAGAGGAAGGTTGACCTGAGAGGTAGGTGGTGGTGCTTGACTCCTACATTTTCAGTTCTCAAAGTCAGAAACCATATCTTATTTATCTTTGAAACCCTAGAACTTGGTAGCCTCCATATAGCTGCAGGCACCCAGTATTTGAAAACGAATTGTAGACTGTTCTCTGCATCCCCCTTTTCTCAGTTTCCCCTGCTCAGCAGCTAAAGATCTCTTTGAAGATCTTTTAAGTAACCGGCTATTTGTAGAAGTTGGGTGAGTAAGATGGGAAAGGGAGAGTGATCAGGAGGGAAGGACACTAGTAGGATGCACACAGGAAATTTTTATTAGTGGAAAAAAAATATCCTCACTCTTCTGCAGAGTATTTCCTGGACCTTTGCTAAGTGTTCCTCCAGCCTTTTACGGTTTTTGAATGGAAGGTTGTGGTTGGGTAATTAGCTCTCTTCTCCCCACCTTTCTTTCCTAAGGCTCTTACAAATCTACTCAGTTTGTTTTCAACTATTTCTCTCATAAGTTCATAGTTCTTTCATAGGCTTAATTTCTTGTTATGTTGATTTGATGTGACAAGAAACTTTTATGTCATAGTTTATGTTCTAGGGTAGAATTCTCCCTACTCTTTTCCTACATCAAACAAAATGGACTATCAAACAAATTAGGCAATCAACCAATCATATTATCTTTCTAAATTTTACTTTTGGAATAAAAGATTTTGACAATTCTGCAAATTAGACCTATCACTTAGCATTGTTGCAAACTCCGGAGAGAAAACTATCAACTAGCACTTTTTCATATATTTTGGCCCTATTCTACCATCCTCTGGTAAAGTTAGGTATTGCAAACCCAATTTCTAAATATTTGGATAGTCTTTTCATGACCAGGATTAACATCAATAGTGAAAAGAACACCCAGATTATTTCATCATAAACATATTAAAATTCACATTTTCTGTCTAAACTTTTTCTTGTATTAATTTTATAGAATCACTTTTGTATTTTTCCTGGTAGAAAAAACAAGTTTCTCCTAAACAATAATATAAATTTCTTTCATCAGTCTAATACCCATTTAGATTTTACCTTGCATTATTATTTGTCCCGAGTTCTCTTTTCTTAGTATTTTCTCTCTCACCCTGTCTCTGTTTCCTGACAGCTATGTGATAGCTCATTCTTATTTT